CTACAATGAAGAGAGAGAAGGAGAGAGAGATCAGGAAGGATGGATGGCAGGAGGAAGGGCTCTGGTGCATTTTCTGTGGCTGCCTCAGCCAGGACAGAAGCCAGGAGATCTGAACATCTTGTGATCAATGCTCCTGCTAAGCACTGATGTGGTTAAAATCTCTCAGCTGGATCCAACACAGTCTGTGGGAGATTTGGTCACAGCTGCCCCCTCTCAGAAATGTGGAATGTTCCTTTCACCGGCTGAGGGATCTGGGACATCAGCTGCTTGGTCCCCGCTGACAGTCTACCCTCAGTTGCTGCAGTCCAAGAGCCAGGTAAGCTCTTAAATTTCCCCTTCATTATCAGACTCTCCTCTGAGAGTCAGCTGAAGAGGACAAAGGGCTGGGTAAATCTGAGCCTTCCTTGAGCTGATTTTGACTTGACCTAAGAACTGCTGCACCTGATCAGTATCCAGGATGCAGGACACTGCAGAGAAAGGCAAGGTAACACTTCCTCCCAATAGTACAGTTATGGAGGGTGTGGGGGAAATTCTTCCTGGTCCCAGCTGGGGATTAGTGTGTGCCCAGAAGCATGTGGCTTGAAGCCCTACTTGACTGCTCTTATATTTGCTATCTGCCAGGGCAGAGTTGAGGCACACTGGGCAGAGGACAGCATATGGGGAAACCTGTAATGTCACTGTCCGGCCAGTCCAAGCCCTTCTGCCAGCAGTAAGCCTTGTAGGTGAAGACTGATGCTCCCTTTGAACTTGTTTCTTTAGGAAGCATAAAAGTGCCAAGAGTTTAGGATGGACAAGGACTTCGCTCCTTCCCCTCACAGGGTCCGCAGATGTATTCCAACTCCGGGAGCCTGCTCCAGCTCCAGCCGCATCCCAGGTTTATCAGCCCGGCCGGTGGGAGGAGGGGGACCGGCGCCTCTCAGCCCCAAGCTGAGAAAGGAAACGCATCCTGACTCCTTCAGCCAGGACACCGCAGGGCAGAGTCGACTTGCAAAGGGGAGAATGAGTGCCAGGCCTAACTCTAGGCTTGCAGGCCCAAGGGAGCTGAGTAGCACCGGGCTGCCCATCCCGTGCCCTCTTCCCCCTTCATCCAGGTCCCTTCCGTGGACTACTTCTAATGGTTTGGCACCACGGAAGCTGAGCTCCATCTCATTTACCCTCCGCCGGAGCGGCTGTGCACCTCCACCGGACCGGCAACTGCTCCCACCAGCCTCTGCAAGGAGAAAGCTCCACTGTCTACTGGGGAAGGAAGCACCAGGAGGGGAACTGCCCTTGTCGAATCTGCAGCCATTACCTGGAGTACAAGCCATGTCCCCAAGAGTGCCTCTTGGCTGCATGGAGGAGCAAACAAATATCTGGCATGATGGGCAAATCAGTGCTGCATATCCAGGGTCAGAGATGCCCACCACATTGCTTCCCTCAGGTCCAGATTTCCAGAGATGCTTGGCCCGTGCTACCCTACTTCCTCCTCTGCCACATCCCCAAGTCAAGGGGAAACATCCCATGAACTCATCCATGACAGCAGCTGGTCAAGAGGACCACATGGCTACCGAGAGATACAGTGACCCACTTGGCATGGGAATTCTCCAAGGGCCACTTGGATGTGGGAATACCCCAAGTCCCATTCCTGAGCTGTGTGCTCAGGGGCTGGCTCTGGGGGGCCAACTCTCTGCTGCAGATACCATGATGTCTTCTGTGATGGACACAACTGGGCCAGCATGTAAGTCCAAAGAGGGCAGCTAGACTGGGTTGAGTTTGGGGTCTTGTCCTGAAACATGCTGGGGCATGGAGGTAGAAACAGGCATGAGGGTTTAGCCCTGAGGTTTCATCTTTCATGGGGTTCCATCATGGTGTTTCATGTGGTGAAGTCCCAGCTACCAGACAGTCCTGACGGAGCATTACATCAACCGGGAGTGGGGGTGGCAATTTTCCTTCTTCACATTTCCAGTCACACTGCATAATCTTAACGGTTCATCATTTATAAAAGTATATAAAGGGTTGATAGATGATTAATAGATGTTGTGAGCATGGTGCATCTGTACTGTGTGTAATAGATGGTTACCAGCACGTCCGAAGAAGTTATTCTAGATGTTATCCTAGTTAATCTAGCTAGCAATTGTTTTTAAGCAACTTCTGAATGTTCCCTTAATAGAAAGTGGTATCTAATTTTCTTTTTTCTTTTTACATTTTAAAAAAGGAGGTTTTCAAAAACCTCACAAAAGAACTAACCCTGCCAGCCCTGACTGGCATCTCCATGGGCCAGCCCTGTGCTCCCCCCGGATCTCAGCCATTGTGACTGTGTGTGTGTGTGTGTGGGGGGGTCCTGAAGTGAAAATACAGTTGATTCTTTTTAGGCGGCAAAGCGCTGAATGCCCCCTTTAGCCAAACAGAGGAATGCTCTGTAGTCCTCACTGGGTTTTAGGCCCTAGCTATCTCAGAGATTCCTGTCTCACCACATCAGGACAGCTGCGACTGATGGAGACATTGTACCTGATGGAGCCCCAGGTGAGGTCTGGGGCATTCTCAGTGGAACGCCCTCCGCTGTGGAATTCCATGCCACCGGAGATCAGGATGAGCCTTCATGGCCAGGTTTCAAACACATCTCTTTGAACAGACTATCCTCCAGGCACGGCGATGGCAGAGCAGCTTGGCAGTGTTTCTCTGGCAGATAAACAGCAGGATAATCCCACGTAAGAAAGTGGCACAGATCATGGGAGGAACGGAGGGTACGGCCTTGCCAGATGGACATTGGTTTTCTTAATCTTATCTGTGGTGCCTAGATACTGCGTTGCCAGGAGCATCACAAATAGACGGACAGGCATCATATCCCGAAAGTGGAATGTAGAGATTTGATTTTTAGTTGGCCTCTAAATTCCCTCTCTTGGGCCACTATTTGGCAGAGACAAGAGGCCTGATTTTTGTGCAGCTGTTTGCTGCTGGGCACAGTCAGTGTACAGTGCTGCCTTTCTGATCTGATAGTGTTTTAAACCCACTTTGCACTCCCTGGCCAGGGGCTATGCTCCTCCATCCTTGTGCTGGTCACAGAGCCACAGTACGGAGCAAAGCCACCTTTGCATTTCCTGATACGCTCTGTGACAGGTGGCCTGCTCCTTTAGGGGACAAGAAGCCTGGGCCAGCCAGGCCTGTTCAAAGAGCCCCACGTGTGCCTTAATTATCTGCCTACCAGCCTAAGGGGGCTGGACTAATTGGGGTCGGGTGA